CAAAGCTGGAGCACAGAAGGAGATACTACACCTTGCAGTGAGAGCAAATCCAATATTGTCAGCAGGAATAACTGCAGTGGTAACAGAACTTAGACTGAAGTTGAATTTGGCCTTCACTATAATGCAGAGTTATAATGAGATAACAATGGGATTAAGGTGATTAACTATAAACAGAAATAAACCCTCCATGTCAACTGTTTAACTGCAAACACAGCAATGCCTTGCTCAGCAAGCTTAGGCTGTTCAATAAATTCAATAGTGTGAGGGATAACTAACCACTCAGGGGTTTATTTTTTAAGTTTTTCTTTTTCTCCCTTGTATCACTCCTGCAACTCTAATCTTAAAGCCCATTCAGAGTGGCATGAGCACCAAGTTCTTCTCAAAGCAGCAGTGTATTATTACTTGAGATGTAACCAAGACCTCGGAATTGAATTATAGACACTGTTATTGCATCTTTTCTCCAGTCAAATATTCTGCATTGTGTTTTAGCATCAGAAGTAGTGCTTTATGTCCACTCAACCACAATGATTCCCATTCCTGGGACCCAGTAAGTCCTTAATGCTGCAAATAAAATGTAATTCTTGACTCTCTTACAAGGATCAACCTATTCTTTTCACTCTCATGAATTTTTCCATTTTAGTTCTTTGTTTAAACAGCAAATCAGAGGATTTTACAACAGCTGTGAATTTACTGAGCAGAATCAGGCCTCTCAGATCCTTGGGGACACACACTGCTATTGCATCTATACGTTAAATTACAGAACCTTATTATCTCTTTTTTTAGAAACAAGTTTTGTGCAAGCATTCAAGCTTAAAGTCAGTGCTTGCAAGGAACTCAGCAAAACTATGATGGGAATGGGACGTCTGGGGAATAGATGATTCTCTCATCTGAAATGCATAATTAGCTTTTGGTTAAGTGTGCAATTAACATTAAAATTTACAATCAAATATGATGGTGTTCTAATTTTACCTCCTGTAAATGGAGAAAAAAAAAAGACTTAGTTACCAGTGTTACTTCTGTGAATCCCTTCTTATGAGATGAGCTGCTCAGTAACATCCTGTCATCCACGCGACAACTGATACAAAAAGCTTTTAAAAACACTCCATATTTGCCTTCTGGACAGCTACACAGCATGGGGTTTATTTTGGTTTGCACTTTTCTGTTTTGTAATGGTAACTGCCACTCAGTATAATTAGCAGTTGTCATATTTCGGTTCTTAAAGATCCAGAAAAACCAGAGCGATGTTGCTTTGTACCCTCTCCCCAGCTGTGCCTGAGAGCTGTAACACGTGTTCCACACATCCACTACAGCTAATCTCACACCCCAACATGTTTCAGCAGTTAAGACATGGAAACATTTTTGTTAATGGGAATGAAAGACCTTCATCCTAGTAGTGTAATTCCGATAAGTAGCACCTTAAGAGAAAAATCATACTGCAGTCTAAATATGCTGCCTCTGAACATCACAGCCTTTTTAGCTGAAGCTAAATTTAATTCTATTTGCCTTTTACAAGGGGGGTTGAAAGTAGTTTCAACTGTAACATCAGCTGCCAAACCCTGTATTTAGTTCTGTTTATTATTAATCATGTAAGTGGTCGTGTTATGTGCAGTACGTGCAACAAAACTGAGAGTCCCTTGTGCAGGGGGCTGTACAAAAGTGTAATGGAAGTGTAATCAAATGCCTCACACAAAGTATGTATTGTGTGGTGTGCAAGTGTTCTGGGTTCAACACTGCTCATGACTTTCCATCTGTTATTTTATGTTACTGTGTAAAGAGTTCATGTAATTAATGTAGCCTGGGCCAGCATTTAACCTCAGTGCTGTACTGCTCATGAGTTCTGCTGGTATTTCTACCACCATTATTAGTGGTACCAACAGACACACAAATGCACAGAAGAAGGGGGGGGGGAAAAAGAAGAAATCTCACCTTGCTCTCACCTAAAACTGAAATCACTTTTATTCATTCACCCTGCTTCCATTGGGATCTGGACAGAGTGGCCCTCTCTAGCTGCTAGGCAACCTGAACTCTGCATTAAGTATTAGCTGTTTGCATTTGCTAAGAATATAATAATGTTACCTTTGAGGTTTATTTATAATAAAAACCATACCTAGCTGAAAATATAATAGTTTTCCTTCAGTAATCAGTAATTAGCAACTCTGAGAATACAAAATTGTTGGTTAAGAAAGAAATAATCTACATGCACACCCCATGGCTCCTTACAAATCAATCACAAGGAAGATTCTTTATATGAAAGTATTATTTCAGGTGGCAGTGGCATAAAAAAAAAATCTAATCCAAGAATTACATTTATGTAGATATTAGAATATCTATATATCTATATATCTATATTAATATATTTATGTAAACAATCTTTTAAATTCAATATTTAAAATATTATAAAATCTCATCCAACCACAAAATTAACTGTCTCATACAGCTACTTTATATAACACCACCAGTTCTAAACAAGTCCGAAAATATTTGAAATTAAAACAGTCAACTCATCTTGGAGTTGTTTAAAGAAAAAAAGAAAAAAATAAAGGCCTGCAAAGCATTATTTCATGTAAGCCCACTCTGGACCATTTTACTGTTTTGTTCTCTAGCAACAGCACTGTCATTCTACCTTAAAAACATCATGAATATCTTTGCTATGTGACATTCCTCTCAAGCTAAAGAGATATTCCTTTCAAGTCTTTTCAAAGCAGACCATTTCCCAGCCTGCTTGGTCACTGCCACAACTGATAGGGCTCTTATTAAAATATCAATTTGGGCAATTGAGGTGTTAATGTCAACAAGGCAAGAGGCCCATCAATGACATCAAAATTAAACAGAGGAGCACTCTTTTTTGATCATTACATTTGACAGCTTGTCAAATCCTGATTCACAAAACACAGACGTCCTCAAATCCAGCAAACACAAAAGTGGGACTTCTGGCTTTAAAATGCTCCTCAATTTCTGCTGGAGATACAAAAGCTCAAGACAGGCCAGAAAGACATTTACTGACACAGCTGTCAGTCTTCACACACAGCTGTTTGGCACTTATTTTTCTCAGCTTTAAGAAAACCCGAGGAACTGTTTGTAGCTGGAGTACTGCACCTGAATATCCTCTCTTCTGTTCAACACAGGCAACACTCAGCGTAGAAAGTCCCGCTGATCACTGATCTCTCTGGATCACAGCACAGCAGCAGCAACTTCCCCCTCACCTTGAGATTTGCAGAGCACAAAACAAGGTTATTTGGCACAGCCCTTGAGCACCTCGAGTCTGCCACAGCTGTGCACACTCGAGAGCTCCACAAGCACCCCGAACTCAGAAAGACCCAGCTCTGCAGACAGAGAGCATCAGAGGTTCCCAGAAGTGCTTCTCTCTGAATTCTATAAAGACATCTGAAGTGGTTAAATTAAGCACTTGTACTTCTCCTTCTTCACTTGGTTTCACATTAAACCTGGCTTAACATCAAGCTCACGAGGAGCATAATTTAAAAAGTCAATACAACTGGAAAATTGTAGGTCAAAGCAAAGTGTTCACTGGGGCCACATAGTCCTACACTCATAGAAACTCAATAGCAGCTGTAAGTAGTTTTTTAAAAAGTAATTGGAAGATGGGTTGGTAAGAAAACTCTTCCTTCCTACACTTAGGAACACATAATTTTGGTATATTAATGGACCCCACTATTACTACGTGTACTCTGAAGAACACATTGAAATTAAACATATAATCTCAGGATGGGCAGGAGATAAACAAACACTGTGGTTTTAATAGAGGTACACGATGTTTTTGTTAAGGTCCTTGAATCATAACTCACATAAGGGACTCATGCAATGAGCACAGAAAGAGAGAAGAACAGAACACGAGTTACTGTGGAAACTGTCAAACACTGAATGAACCTTTTATTAAAAATAAATGTTAAATCAACAGTGTTGTTGGTAACTCCAACATTACAGGTCCTATAGATAGCACCCTCTGAGGAATCCACCTGACATCTCTTTCCATAAGAAGTTTAAGGTTATTAAAGCCTTTTTCCCCCCCAAAGCCTTCAAACAGATTTAATTAAGATTATTGCTTAATTCACTTTAATCCTGGAATCTCTGAAAAAAAACCCAAATATTTTATGGTGCTTTCTGTCTTGCTTTTACACAACTTATTAGAAAATTCCATGTTCCAAAATTAAGAAGGACCAACTGGACGAAAATCATCTTTAGTTGTTTATTGGGCCTGAAGTACAAACCTTTTTATTACCGAAACCCTAAATTAAATCAAACAGCTTCATGCCAGGTTATCTACGTTAGTTTCAATATCAGGATTTTTCAACACAAAAAGGATCTTTTATTAAGTAATTTGTTGTAACTTGTATCCAGCAACCCAGAAATAAAACGAATAATAGAGTTGTAGTTAAAAGAAAAAAAAATCCTCATTTTATAAGCTCACTATTTATTGTGACAATTCAAGTTCACCACAATAAATTAAAAAAACCACGTGATTACTATAATTTTACATTTAAATATAATTATTAAAGATTAATTATAAATCCAGTGTATGTAAATCAATTACAAAACCAAGCTCTTAGCTGGGGCAGATTTGGGTAGAAATGCTTGGCACTGCTGAGCAGGTACAGGAGTTGCAGGAAGATACAAGTATGTATGTAGAGGACATAAACCCATAGTAGAAGTTATGTATAGAGTTCACTCACTGAGCACTCATTGAATTTCTGCTCACTGAAAAAGTGCTACTAAAGGGCTCCAGACCTGCATAGAGTTTGTTGCAGTTTAATAGACACTGACTTCTGAGATCGTAGAGCTGCTGCTTAAGACAATACCAGGGCTCTGACCAGCAATACAGAGAACTCAGCTCACTGCAGGAATGCAAAGATACAGCCACACAGAACTTAGGAACAACCAAAATCTACAGCAATCCAGAAATCTACTTCCAAACAAGCTATTTTTTTACCATCATATCTTTGCTGGGATTAATATAAAGCATTTTTGAACAGGCTGGCACTTACCCAAATCTGCAGCTTCACCCGCTTGTCATTTCTGTAAACTGTTTTCACTTTGAAGTCAATCCCTACTGTGCTAACGAAGGCTGGTGTGAAAGTGTCATCAGCGTATCTGAAGAGGAAGGATGTTTTACCCACGCTGCTGTTGCCAATGATCAGGAGCTTGAACATGTAATCAAAATTTTGGTCTGAAGTATCTTTCTGCCTGTATCTGGCATCTGTTACTGAAGCCATCTAAGACAATGACAAACATGGAAAAAGAACAGATTTAAGAGCAGTTCAGCATTTGTTTTCCTTAACTGTGTACCATATGTTTAGGTTACCTCTCTACTTTCTGATGTCATAACCACTATATCTGCTGAATAAAGAGGAACACACTTTGAAATATTCTTTTAAATCCTGGCTTTAAATGTCTATTACTCACTTGTACAGCTAAGATTCCCAAGCCCAAGAAATACACCTGTTGCACTGCTTTGTGTTGAACAGAATAACAGATGGCTATTGCAGATTGTTCAAATACTCGTGGGGAAACAGCATTCTTTACTCCTGTGGCAAGGTGCCACTTCTGTTGCTCCAATAAACTGCAGTACTGCAACCAAGAACTAAAATCTTTGACAGTGCAGCCAACCGTGCAGTTCACCAAGCAGCCTGCAAGGTAAATAAACCTAAATAATTCCTTTTATTACTTCTGTGGAAAATCTGCACTTCTAGCACATGCACCACCACCATTTTAGCCTTAGAAAAGTTCTGTTCTCAACATTTACAGAAGAAAAAAAAAAGGCAAGAAGATAAGATGAAACACCAGGAATTTCAGCTGAAATTTTAACTCTATCCAACACCCATCTACTATCAAGGCTGCAATTGAAATGAACAGCACCTGCATAAAATATGAGGGCTCAGTGTGGCTGCAGGCAGCATGTGGAATGGATAAATTATCCCTTTTATTATGTGGTTGTGAGAGTTGTGAATTTTAGTGGAATGGGGAGGGGGGAAGATGCAGCCTCAGAGATCCCTGTGACCCTGAACTGGATTCAGAAACCAAAAAACAACAGCTGAATCTAAAATATCAGGACTCACTGAGCAACCCTGGCTGCTTTAATGAACGCAGCTCAGACACTTTATGGGAGAAGGCAAGGCCCTGACTTTTCATCTCTGTTTGTACAGAGCAGAACACAACTACACAGACCAAATTACTACAAAGGAGGAAAAGGAAACTTTACCTTTTACTACCTATACCACACTTTTAATCTCTCATGCTGTTTTAAACTCTACCCCACATCAAACAACCAAGGGTCTTAGCTCCTTTTAACGAGTCACAGGGTTGGCAAACTGGGGCAATGACAGCACAGGTCTGAGCAGCAGCTACTCATCCAAAGCAGGACCTGTGCTACTTGTGTGCAGTATCAGAAAGCATTGGGTGGAGACCCAAGACTCATCTTTCCCCAGCATTCAAGGAAATAATTTTCCCCTCAACTCAGATTCATAGGCATATTTGGGAACAAAACTCCCTCCAATGTCTACTCTCACCATGTGGCCAAATACTTTCCTTCTTACTAAGTCTCACCTGCACACAGGACTTCACTCATTTACTGAAAAAAAAACACCAAAAACCCAAAACAAACAGTTCAAAATTCACTGTAGTTAAACAGCTATAAACCAAAATGCTGTCCAAAGGCAATTTAAGTAGGGATAATAATTTAACTTAAATTCCCTACAGATGGGAACCAAACCAAACCCAACCCAGTTTAAACTTCAATACAATATGCAGGACGGTTTATCTCTAATTAAACACATGCACCTTTCTCACACAGAGAAGGGCTGGTGCAGCAGACATTTCGTTCACAGATTACATTAACAAGGATAGTTTCTGAAGCAATTTATCAGTAGCTCAATAGTGAACAGCTGCACTGAATGCAATAAAATCTTCCCACAAGTGTTTCTCTGTAGGATACAAAACATTTTGATACACTCTTTTCTGAACTTCAGCTGCTATTCTGTCGGATTGCACAGCTCTTTGAAACACTCCAGAAAACACAGGAACAAATCTTCTTCTCATCAGTGTACCAGAAAACAGCTCTTCCACCCATGTGTTGTGTTCACAACAGAAATTTCTAAAATGAAGAATTCAGCGTCTGACTGACTTCCATGCAAACACTCAGGCCAATGCACTCACTGCCTCCTTAATCTCAGAAATCTCAGCTGTAAAGATTATCTATCAGGTTGATTTGTACCATCACCAAGCTGGAAGACAGTGAGAGTTGTCCATTTCAGTAATTTATCTTCCCCGTACACATTGTAGTTTCCACAAATGCCATTGAGAACACTTGTGCACTCAAGTGAAAAAGAAAAAAAATAAATAAAAAAAAATCTCTACTTCTCCATTCCACTCACAGAGGCTTGAAAAAAGTGAGAAGCCCTCACCACTTGAAGGCTGGTCATTTAAAGATTCAGAGGCAGACCTTTAACAAAGAAGTATTCCACTAATCATACAGGAATCAATATCTTCTTTCTACCCCTGCTTTCACAGAATCCATCCGCACACTCCAAGCTGATCTTTTACCTGAAGCACTGCTGCTTCTATTAACCCCTCTAGATTGCTCTAATCAGAAGTGTACCTGGCTAAGAATGTGACTTTCAGATGCCAGTTAAGAAAGCAATTACAGAATGTGGCCAGCTCGAGCAGCTTTGTTAGAAGCACAACACGGAAAATAAGATCAAATGATACTTGCACGGAGTGCGGGGCTGTTGTCATAGAAGCACAACACTCGCTGGCCTGTGCCTGCCTCTGTGCTGCGCTGGAGATGCTGCAGGTCAGCGCCCTGAATCACCAGAGGCAGCATCAGAGCACAAAGATTTCAAAGAAAATTCCATCCCCTTGCTTAAATTTGACTTTTCCCTTCCCCCACCCCAGTCAATAGAGTGGAACTGAAAGGACTTTTGCTCTAATTTCTGATTACTCCTCTCATGGTAGATCATGACTGAAGATGAACTCCACCAGCATTTGGGCTGAAAGTGTTCACAGGGCTGCCCCTGAATTGGTGCTGAATTCTGAAGCCAGGAAACAGCAGACCTTACTCCCGTTCTCCCCTTCCTCTTCCTCACCTATTGTCTCACTCCTACTCCAAGCACTCCCTAGTCATGCCAGTCCTGTACCCCACAGAGAGCTGGTTCAGAGCACAGAGAGATCCCAGTTAAAAATAAATCTTCCTACAACTTCTGTTCTGCAGGGCTGTTTGTAAAGTTGGTTCAGCTCCTGATCCAGCACAGCTGAGGGAGCCAAGCAGAGGGGACAGAGCAGTGGGAACTGATGGCAGTTGCTATGCTACTGAGAGACAGGTCCATGGAATCACATCTCCTGCAGGCCCTCAGCACTTGGAGGAGGTTCTGCAGCAGCAGCAGAGGGGAACGATGACAATGGGCAGCTCCCTCCAAATCATCCAAACAGCCATTGTTCTCAGGGGGTTGTATTCCCTCCTTGGTCCAAGGCCATTTAGCTGGCAGTGTAGCCCCCTGCTCCCTGGGCACACAGGGACATACACGGTTCATTCAGGATGGCTCCAAATAGAGCAGCATCTCTGCTGTCTAGTGTTCAGTTGCAGAAGATCAGTCAAACACAACTGGCATGCAGAGGGCAAAGGAGACGCTTGTGAATGTTTCCATTTTGACTGCCTTGGAATAATCCTTAATAAAATACCTGTACAGGAAAGGTTTAGCCGCATTCCATAAAACCCATTACACGGGAGAGGAAAAAGCTGCCAATCAGATTGTCCTTGAGGACACTTCAGTATGAGGCCTTGCATCATTTAGTTCTCTGCCCGCTGCTTTGTAACTAAGAGCATACTAAAATTGACAACCTTTTTTCCCCCATGTGCTTTAGTAATGGGAGCAAGGTCTCAAACACATCCACTTCCAACTAGTTTGTGAAAATAGGCAGTTACGTAGCTATGAGATACCTTATTATTTCCCTATTGAGAAAAAAGCCTGCAGTGTGAGCTCATCTTTTATTAGACAAAGAAACCACGTAAGAGCAGGTTGCTGCAAATGCTCTAAAGCAATAAAATCTTAATCAGAGCTTATTAGCCACCAAAGAATATGTTCCTCGGTCAAGGCGGCTCTCCTGCATTTAGTTTCTATTTTGGTCTAATGAAGTTTAAAAGAAAAAAAACCTATTGCCCTAAGACACCTCCATGGGAAACCAGCCTTTGCTGCTTTCAGTGCTCACTGAAATGTGTCATACAGATGGATTCACACAGCTGTGCTCTTCAATTTGTGACCAACATCATGGTGAAGAATCAAAATAGTTTGTAGTGAAACACCAAACAGCATAGCGTTCCTGCTCTTAGAAATCACTAGAAGTGGTCACTGCCACCCCTGTTGGCAGTGACTGTGGGCAGTGGCTGCGGGCATTTACTGCCCACAGCCAGCTTCAGTAAAATACATGAACTGTCCAAAGTGTTGGCTAGAAATCAAATGCTGTATCTCACCATTCATTTACTTCCAGGAAAAAAAGCTAAGGTTGACTCCAAGTGCTGCCAGCCCCTTGAAGTTTTGGCTACAAACTAATGGAGGGTGCTCTTCTCTATCCTCTCACAGCCAAGAAACAAGAAATCCAATCATTCCCATGGAAGTTACACATCTCTATTAGCAACCAAATGAGTGTGTTCACAGACATGACCATTTCCATGTCTCATTCTCTCTCACAACATTGTGAGAGTTTGGAAAAAAGTCTCCTTGTCTTCTGTCAGTCACCTCAGTTAACCATGAAACATGGTCACACTGATGCAACTTATACTTCAAACTACCCACTAACAAATTCAATTTCTTATGAACCTGTGTGTTCTGGATATTACAGCTTCTGGGCATTTCTAGCAGTAAAAACATATTTTAATATGTCACTCCTTCATTTTTAAAGGTAAAACTTAAATTTCCTACGTATGTTTTGTGTTACACAGGACCAGTAACAATTTAAATGTGACTGTTTAACTGTTTCATCATCATCTGCCAGCACAGACACATTTTTTTGTTCAGGCAGATGAGAAGATGGGGTGAAACCACCCCCCTATATTTCTAAGAGTCAAAGATCTTATGACAGCTACTCCAGGCTGGGTCCAGCCTCATTTTCTCTGTGTGTATGTCTGTGTTTTCAGCAATTGGGCCACTCTGTTTCTCCTGACACTCTTTTCACAGAGCTGCCAGCGTTAAATCATTCCTTTATATCAGAGTCCAAACATCTTTTTTCCTACTTCCACAGTACTGTTTCTGACTTCCAGTGCTCAAGGTCAGCCAAGAGAGAATATCTAAGAAAGAAGTCGATGTCTATCAGTCTAGAAGGAATAAATGGTAACAGCAGACAACAAGAGAAGGGGCGCAGTCACGAACACAGCTGTACCTGTTGGACTCCTGGCTATCCATAGGCACTTAGGAGTGTGAGAGGAAGGAAAGAGATTACTAGACACACTCATTTGGTAAAGCAGAAATAATGAGCCCAAGTAAAGGTCAAAGTTTAAAAAAAACCCACATGCATTGTGCTAAAGTCAAATAGATCGCACACGGGCCAAGGCTCTTACAGAAACAAAGGACAGCAGCACTGCAGACAGCCCTGAAGATGCTAAAAGACTGTGGAAACTACTGTGTAAGTTATGTGGTAGGGAAGCAACAAAAAAGAGTAGATAAACCAAAAGATTTCTTAATCTCTGATATTGACAGTTTAACAGTAACCCCCGAGAGATGTTACTAACATGCAGTTTAACTTCTTTTTGAAAGAGTGAATATCTTGTAGGGTTTTATTCCCCAAAAAGAGTCTTTAAAAACGTATTTAAATTAAAATATTCTAGTTCACAAATTATACATCTATGTTAATTTTCTATTATAAAAACTCATTCCTTTATGTGCTCTGTCATTGGAAAATAAATATTTTTGTATTCTTTTTCAGAAATTAAATTCTGAATCGAATTTCTATCAAGCAATGGAAATTTTTTACAGCCAATGTGTGTTGTCCTAGGAAAAAAGCTCATAAAGGAAATAAGGCCATGACCTTATGGAGTCTTATACAAAAGCTGTACTACAAGAGAGATTTATCAGAAGCAGAAAACAGAGTGTGAGCAAGTAACAAAACTGCTAATAAATATTGCAAGCAAGCGATAGTTACCAATTTAGATCTATAATCCATGAGACAGATGAAGGCTTTGCTGTGAGTATATGAATCAATAGAGTGGTCACACTGTTGAACCTGCGATGTAGAAGCAAAAGGATTAAAATGTTTGTGATAAAGGTGGATAATGAGAATATTAGGGAATAGTAGGTAGGAGACTAATGGGTAGGCAGGTTAGGCTGGGAGCACACTGCTGTGTAAGGTCTGAGCTTCCTTCTGGGAAGAGGAAAGTCCTGTAGTGTACAAAGAGAATAGAAACAGTGCTGGAGTTAGTGACAGATATTAAGATAGCAGCAGATATTTGGAGCCATCAGTTTAAAGTTTATTAAAGGGAGATTATCTTGATTAAGCTAAAATAAAATTTCCAGATCAATCTTACAAGTGGATGGAAAACCTTAAATAGGAATCATCACACATTTCCTGCAGAAAGGCAGCAAAGCAAATGGAACCAAGGAGCAGCTGAAATATATCTGTACACATTGGTGTTTTGCACAAAGCCTGGATAAAAGTCTACTGTGCTGCAAAGGCAACTGCAATAGGACATGGAAATGTCTGCAACTTACAGCACATCTATACACAAATAACTGCCTCAAAGTAATAGTCATTCTGGATTTAGAGCAGAAAAACGTAACAGAATTTAGTAATCTTTTTTATGGCTAATACAATCTAAAGGCCAACTTTTTCTCTGGTGCATTGCCTCTCCAGTAACCAGGGCACACCACCTTTTGTCATTAACTTACATTATCTTGCCTCGTAGAGACTGACAAAACACGTGGGCAAACTCAGACCTTATGTAAACGAGCTGCAGCCACCTATTCCAGGTGAGAACTTGGATCAAAAGCAAATCCTTTCTCACGACCCACACAATTGACAATCCCCTCACTTGGCAACAAGGCTGCACATTGCTCTTGCCCAAAGTATTGCACATTTTCTGGTATCGGTTACATTTCCTCCTCTTCTCATACCCCTGCCTTCTGCAACAGCTGCTCACTGTGACAGCCTCTGGCTTGCACTTAGTACCATCCAGAACTTGATTTTGGGGTGTCATCTAACTAACTCAATTGATAAATCTAGAACAAAGATAATTCAACTCTCTACATAGAAAGTCTATGTTTATTACTTTAAAAATATGAACTCCTCATCTTGTCAGCAAAAACTAAAATGCCTTTATTGATGACTCTAGAAGTCTCTACAAGAAGATGTTTGTAGTGGATTTGATCTGGAATTTACATGCTACAAATAAGTTCAATATATGCATGGTAACTGAAAGATAAAAAATCTCTAAGCAATGTCAGTGGTTATTTATTACTATTACCCATTTAGATTTGGGAACAGAGGCTTTAAAAAGAGCTTTAAAAAGGTTTTCAAGAACTTTCTGGCTGTGGAACGAGAGTCAAAAACCAGCAGATATCACCTTTTTGCCAACAACTCTCTAACTTCATAACTACCTTTAGTTCATCTGCAGGCTGGGACTGTCGTTAGGAAGATTTCCTCAAGCCAAATGTCTCTGTGTATCTGGAGCCAGGCCTCTCCCATTTCCTGCACAACGTTCAACATCC